AAAGTTATTACATCATCCAGCTCTTTTTTCTTTTCTTCTTCCAGCTGAGGTAAGTCCTTAAGCAAGTCTTTAGTGCAGTCAATGTCACAACTCTCGGCTGTATATAATAGTTTATAAAAGTCTCCAGCCAATCTTCTCATTTCTGTAGGATCTGATGTCACGGATCCGTCCGAACGACGAAGATGGCACATCATCTTTTGTTGGACATGTTTCCTTTCCAGGTTAAAAAAGAAAGCACTTGGAGCATCCATTTCTTTTACAGAACAGTATCTTGATCTCACCAATGCTCCTTTTGCTTGCTCATGTAGAAGAGAGCTTAGCTCTTGTCTTTTCTTATTTAACCCATGACACTGTACAGCTTCATTATTATTTACAGCTTGTCTTTCAATGAACTCAATGTCACTTTGTAAAGCTTTCACTGTTGCTTTCAGTATAATTGATGAGTGGAAAGCATAGTTTTGACAAAACATTTTTATATTTGTCTTGCCCACATCCCACCATTGACTTAGGTTTTCAAAAGAATTTTTCTTCAATTTCCAAATATCCCAGAAAACTTTAAACTTTTCACAAAAAGAGACATCCTGTAATAACTTAATATTAAAAATCCAGTAATAATTAGATCTGCATGTTTTTTCCAAATTAACATCTAATATGACCATATGATGGTCTGAAAAACCATTAGGTCTAATAAAAGTATTCATCACCTTGTTGTTCCATGTCTTTTTTAGATAAAACCTATCCAATCTCGCTCCACTAATTCTATTATCAACCACTCTTAGCCACGTATACTGCTTTACTCCTTCATTCCTCGTTCTCCATACATCTGTTAACTGAAATTCATTTATAACTTTTTTTAATACATCCCTTGACTTACTATGAGGCTCTTCTCCATTCCTATCAACAACAAAGTCTATTGTACAATTCCAATCACCTCCAAGTATTAGACAAACATTATCATCATATTTTTTTAGCACTTTCCTTAACTCCATAAAAAATATCAGCCTCTCTGGACCATTATTAGGAGCATAAACATTAACAAATACAGACTCTATTCCATTATACTCAATTTGTGTTAAAAGTAATCTTCCTTTCACAATTTCTTCTATCTTTACAATACTCACACTTTTAGAAAATAAAATAGCTACCCCCGCACTATTTCTTGTGTCATGACTCAAGGCAAATTTTCCTTTCCACCACAACCCCCATTCGACCTCATTATCAGTGTCTGTATGCGTTTCTTGTAAAAAACAAACATTAACCTTTTCGATTCTTAAAAACTCAGAAATCTTTGCTAATTTATTCTTGTCCCTACCCCCATTAATATTTAATGAACCCACTCTCCACACATCCATATAGAGAATTAAGAAAAAGACAGAAACTGAAAAAAAGAGCAGAGAGTAAAGAACACCACTTGTGATTATTCATATCTAAGCTGTTTTTAAACTTTCGCTTTCCTTCTCCTCAACTTCGTTACCATCTTTTTCAGCCTGAATCTTTTCTTTTTATCCAAAACTTCATAGCTCACTGTTTTTTGCAGAAACAACACTGATATTATAAATTTGTCCACATCTGGAAAAAAATCTTCTACTTCTACAATTTTACCGAATGTTGTATCCAGAAAGTCATTAATTTCCTCTAAAGGGTACATGTCTTCAATCACTTGTGACCCAATTTCTGAAAACTCAGAAAGAGCATCTTCATCTCTCATTTCTGCATCACCAATATTCTCACTTCCAACACCATTTCCTCCACTACTTGCAACAGTTTCCCTATCTTCACTCATTACTTTGTTTCCCACCATTCCTGTTGTTTCATTATTCACAATCCCACTTTCCTCAGTTTGGTTGTCATTTTCTTCATTTAATTCAACAGCTTCCTCAGCTCCCTGAGGCTCATCTTCCTCTACTACAACAATAGCTTCCTCAGCTCCCTGAGGCTCATCCTCTTCCTCTACTACAACAATAGCTTCCTCAGCTCCCTGAGGCTC